AACTAAAAATGTACATATATGGGCAAACTTAATAAGCTAACTGATGAAAGAAATAAAAAAATATATTTTTTATAGTTAAAATATAAAAGAGAGTACCTAACAAAGTTAAAGGAAAGTGTTAGCATAGTAATCTAACTAGTTCATAGACATAATAAAAGCACATGAGGTCCAAATATAAAGTAGTACGCGAATGAGTCACTATGAAACATATATACACTTAAATGGATTCAAAGAAAAAAAAAAGTGTAACATGTGTAAAGCATTTTCAAAAAGTCTATAAATACCCCATACCTTTGAAAGGTAAGGGATTTTTCTAAAGTACTTCTCTCTTTATCGTACTCCTTATCTCTCTAAAAAGAGTTTTAAGTATAAAATATTACTAATTTAGGTGTCGAGTGTTTATCAAGAGGGACAACCCTTGGGTCTGTTTCATAGGTTTCCTTGCTGGTCAACTAGAGTCGATGAAGCTGCCCAAATAAAAAGTAAATTATGTAAAAATCTAACGTTGAGAGATCAAAATTGATATTTAATCTAATAACAATACAAAAGCCTCTTTTTTTGGCCAAAAAGAGTGCGGATTTCTCTTTGGCTAAGGTTATTGCGACTAAATATTTTGTTAATGTCGCTAATTCTAATTGTATTTTTATCAATTTATGATTTTTTTTCTTAATAATTGGTTTTGATTTTTGAAAATATTTGATTATAAAATGCTTTTAATATGTTAAATAATAAATATTAATTATTATTAGTTATTAATTATTTTAAGAATCAAATTAAGATAAAAATTTGATAATTTTAGTGGTTTTAACAAAATTAAAAGTAGTCATAACCATAGGCTATTTGTTTGCTTTATGTTTACATAAATGTTTTTATTTTTTACTGGTGTTGTAAAAGTATTTGAATCTTTATTAAATAAAATTTATTAAAGGTATTGTGAACTTTCATAACGATCATAATTCACACTGCACTTTTTTTTGTATAATTTGAAAATCTTTATCCTCTTATTTTTTGAGCCAAATTTTGATTTTTTTTATTAAGAAAAAGATTAGTTTATTATTTTAAAAAAAGTTATGTTCTTAGACATTGCAGTTGCTTAAACATCTAATCTCCACTTTAGTATCAAAGTTTCGAAATTGATAAAAGGTATTAATTCGAGTAATCTCTAGTTGATGATAAAGAAAAAGACTTCTTTTAAATGGGAAGGGTAGATTCAACCATGTGCATCTCTCTTATTTTGAAGGGGCTAACTAACTACTAACTACTGAGCAAATGATTGAAAGAAAGGACAATAAAAATGGTTAAACCATGTGTATCAAATGTCATTATTATTCCGTCTTAATCATGTTTTATTAGTGATTTTTATGTGACTATTTAGTTCTGCGTAAGGGTAACGCCTATTAACTTTAAAGCATGAGCAGCCAAGATGTAAAAAATAAAATAAAATAAAAAGTAAAAAGCAACAAGACTTGTAAGTCATATTTTGCCACAAAAATATCGAAAGAATATCATACTACTTAAATTACACGTTTGGTAATCTTTAATTTAGTTTTGCACTCCTTACATCCTTAACCCATAAGAAAATTTTGATAGAAAAGACAGAATCCGTAGAATCTGGACCGCCATGTGCTTTTGGAACCAAATCAACATGCTTGTAATTAGAAGTTTCTTATCTTGAATAAATTGTTTTAAATAGTTAAAAGATTAATATTTTAATTTAAAAATCTCGAGGGATTAAGAAAATTAGAAAACCTTTTTATGGTATATAACCAATCATATATGTATATATAGAAGTTTCTTATGTCACCAGAACAATAATCAATCAAATCATACATAATTTCTATTTTTGGTGGTTGAAGACTGAAAGAGAGTGATTGCTTAATGTAAAATATCATTGCCAAACAGCTAGAAGTAGAAGTAATGGTTTGCCAGTGAGATGAAAGTTATTTGCAACCAACAAAACCACCCCAAAAGAATTGAGCCACTTTAGATCACTTTCAGATGTCAGATAATGGAACCATCCTAAATGCTCATATGGAGCAAGTAAAGTTCTAGTACTAAAAGTTGTGGCGGTGGTGGGTGGTGGTGGTGGAGTGGGGCTGGTTAATAGGGAGCTGGTGGTACACTGGAGCAGCTGAATCCTTTTCCTAATTTCAACTTTCCTTTTTTTAATCTTTTAATCGTCGTATGAAAAGATCTTAGATAGCAGCAAAACACACGTGGACGAGGTAGGACCCTTGTGATTTCATTTCAGGAACAGCAGAATGCATTGAATGAGCTGCCTGGCTTTTTTGTTATGCTCGTCCACCAAAAACTATTGAATCTTAAAAAACAGAGTGTTGAAATAATTCAAACTCAGACAAGGTTTACTAAAAAAAAAAAAAACCCCTCAGACAAGGTGTGGGTACATATGCCCACAGGAAATCATTCTAATTGGTGGTGCATGGGTTGAATTAGGAGCTTAAATTTCCCATTGAATAGAAAGGAGAGATGATTTTAGGTCACATTTAACAAGCTGGTAGCCGCGGACATCTTTTGTGTTGAAACTTAAAACCCAACCCATGATAGGTTGGAATGAAAGCATGGTTATGTAGCTAAAGTGGGATCATAATCTGACCTTCAAGCTAGTTTTCATGGTTTGAGAGGTTGAGACTCGACACATGCACAGAAGAAAAGAGAATGAGCAATTCTATTTGGAGACCAGCAAATTAGGCAGAAAATTAAATAGAGACACTAGTTTCAAGCAAAAGCACTTGTAGCAACACATGTTACTTCTTCTGGGCAGTGTCCAGTTTGTGTCACTTCCATGATTGAACTTGGCTTAATGGCTTGCCTCTAATAAAAGCCTCTTCCTCTTTTTAATATTCTTTTAGACCACAGTAGAAAGAGCAAAAGCAGCCTTTTGCATCCCTGGAGTGAAGGGTTCGTATTGGTGAAAGGATCCATGTCTGCTCATCACTAAGCATAGCACTCATTACTTGCGATACCAGATGGCTTCCACTTTGTATCAATATATAATGCATAGATTGACATATGCAGTTCTATCTCTGTTAGTTATCATTGCTAACTGTTACTCATTTGTATAGTTTCGACCAAATGTCCAACCTCCCCTTTATTTTCTTCTTCTGAATTATAACTACACAAATTAATGAAGAAACTAAGCTATCTTTATTTAATTTTGAGATCATCAAAACAAGAGGAAGAGTGAAAAAAATTCAGAAGAAAAGGATCCAACCACCTGTCAAAACCTAATGACACAAATTACCAATGTACTCTCTCTTCTGCTTCTGAACAAAGTGCTCCAAACTTCCGCACCAAGCTTTGCCATACTCTCAGATGTTGGGTTTCGCGCAAGCAGTAAAGGCTAAACTGCGATGTACCCAAAAAATTAAAAATAAAAATGCAATAACTAAAGGCTGCCTCTTCAACCATGCTCCATAGTTGATCTTCTATGCCATTTCCAATTTTCTAACATCCTAAATGTCATTTCATTCAAAGAGTTTCTAGTTAAATTAAAAATCTAGGATCAAGCCTTATTTTCATACATCCTAAATGTTTTCCCCTCAGGGATAGGTGTACTATATAAGTCATCAAGGCTGCATCTTAGCCTCGAAGTATTATTATCCGGTAGTCTGTGTTGATTACACACTGCTCATCATACATGTTAATTTTTTCCCCTTCTCTCTTTAAAATGTAAAGCACTAGTATTTCTGCTATCTTCAACATGCCCCTAATTTACTTGAGACTCATGAAACACTACACTACGAGTTGCATCATCCATTGTTCTGATGCTATTATTTTCTAACCCACTTTTCATCCAAGCCAGATTGCTTATGTCAGTGGCTATTGCTGCCAATTCATAACTTGGGAAGGATGGTGGCTCCAAGCAGTCCACAAATTCTGGCCCCAACAGAGAATTATGAGAATTTCTGCCACTTTCTGTTCCACAACAGCCATGGCCACATTGATGAGGCACTAAATGCCCACTATAATATCCTTCAAGCAATTTGTTAATCTCAACATCTTGCTTTGCTGTTTGAATTAAAGGTCCCTGTGCTGGGACTGGTTTAGGATGCAGTGAAGCAGTTTCTGGGCCATTGGTAGTGTTATAAACATTGAAAGCACTGATACGGGCTACAGGACGGAACAAGGTAGTTGGTACTTTGGCTTCATGACTATGTGGAATCTCCATTAATGATTTCCCTTTGTATTGACAATCCACCTTTTCTACAGAGCTTACGTCTTTCCTTTCCAATGATTTTACTGAAGTAACATCACCACAAGACTGAGTTTCTTCAGACGATGCTTTGTTTTTGTCCAGGCTAGCATCTTCAACCATATTTCCACCTTCTGACTTTATCCTCCCAAGCTCTGCGAACCTCCGCCTTAGTGTGGAGTTCCAATGGTTCTTAATAGCATTATCTGTTCTTCCTGGTAGAAGCCTTGCAATCACAGCCCATTTGTTCCCATGAACAGCATGCGCTGAGATAATGATTTGATCTTCCTCATCTGTAACAAAATGGGTTGTTAGTGCAGTTAATCAGAAAGCTACTAAACAAATATCAAATTAATGACTTGTCAGAGTGTGTTGTACTTCAGGATCTATGTTGCAATTCTAAATATCAAAATAACCATGCTCCTCATCTTTGTCAAAAAAGTATAAATCCAAACACATACTCCATATCTCCCCAAATTCATATATTCCTTAACGACCAAAAAGCCAAAGCAATGATATTGCTTATCCAAAAGGCTGTGATATGAGAAATGAGATACCCCTCCCTCAATTGATTAAGCATGAAACTGCTCTAAATACTAACTAGCTTCTCTAATCGCCATTATCTTATACTATCCATATCCAGTACTGCAAGGAACAAGTAAATTTAAGCATTTACAATGCAAAACCTGATAATAAGTTATAGCTTTCCACTTTACTAGTTTTCCTCTCTGGGATATCATATGTGCAAAATTACAATTGAATATGTGTATTTATCTTCAGTGCACAAAATTTACAAACATAGCCATGGTTCTCTGTCAAAATTCATGGGATTTACATACTATTTTATTCTTGAGATTATCAAAGGACAAAATACCGTTTCATTTTCAATAAATTTTGCATCCAAGCGACTAAACTAAACTTGGCTCTATTAATGTGTATATCATTACCAGTTCAACACTCAGATGTACCCAAAAAAAAAAAAAAAATCATAATTCCAGAATATATAACTGGAAGAATTCTGTCAAATGCAGGGTAAAATTAAACAATGCAAATCCTAACAAAATAATATGTCATTCGGAAAATTCAAAATGCTCTAAAAATGATTCCATAAGCATGCCAAAGTATTAATCCAGGCATTGAAATTTGAAACAGTAAGAACTAATAAAAAAACCATTCAAAGATCTATATATCGAAATATCAAGCACAAATGCTCAAGAAGATAACACAAGAAATTAAGATCTGTTCTTTCACCGGTAAACGGCTTGCGCTTGACGGCGGGATCGAGTTGATTACACCATCGGAGCCGACACGACTTGCCGGAGCGGCCAGGGATTCCTCGAGCAATCAAGCTCCAATTCCTAGCCCCAAACTTGCTCACCTGTTCACTCAGTACCGCATCCTCCTCCGGCGACCATGGCCCCCTCACTCGCTCCCTGCGCGTCCGGCGTCCGACTGCAACTATGGAATCGTCGCCGCTTCCGCCACCAGCATCTTCGCAATCTGCAGCCGATAGCCCGTCGATTTCGGAGACAGTGCTCTCCTTTTCGTTTTCCACTGCTTCCATTTCAAATTCCGTCGGGCGACTCTCTCAATGTCAATGCCAGTCTTCTTTTTCCCCGACCCGCTAGCGCTAGGTTGAAAGGATTTGTTGGCCACTCTGGGATTTTAGTTTTTAGCGGTTTTGTCCTGAAAATTTTCTTTCTGTTTGACCGATTTGCCCTGCTTTAAATTACTCGTGTGCCGTTTAACTTTTAGCTTTTTTTTTTTTTTTCTTCTTTGGATAGTCATAGGCAAAATCACAGAATTTCAGTTTCTATACTTCCAAATGTTATTCTACCATTTATTTTCTATTTTTCTAATGTATCCTTAGGGCACATTTATAAGGGAATATTAATTGTCTAATTATTTTATTTTTTGATAATTAATTGTTCTAAAAATATAAAAAAACTGTTCTTAATTTTATCAAAGTGTCAATAATAATTTGACACATGGCATGGTTGATAAAACTGAGATTAATTTTTTTTTAATTTTTAAAGTAATTAATTGTAAAAAAATATAATAATTAAACAATAAGCATTCTTTTATAAAAAAAAATGAATATCACTTTTTTCCCCTCAAAACAAGTAAATTAAGTAGGTTAAATGCTAAATTTGGTCCCTCAACTTTAGTGAGTTGCACATTTTTGGTCCCTTAATAATTTTTTGCACTTTTTTGATCCCTCAACTCTAAGAAATGCACTCCGTTAGTCCTTCTGTCAATTTAGGCCGTTAACTCGCTATGTGGCATTTTTTATAATTTTTTTATAATATGGCAAAAACAAATTTAAAAAGCGCTGATTTGGAAATTTTTTTTAAACCATGTCATCGCCAACTCATCCAACTCATTGCCAACTCATAAATTGATTTTACCTTAATAAAAAAATAAAAAATTACAAATTTACCCATTCGCCCTTTATTGATCCATCTTCTTCTCCTCTTTCGATCATCTTCTTCCTTTCTTTTTT